TTTTGTACATCACCTTGAATAAGTGAGGTACTGTCCTGTTTATTCATGCTTGGTTGGAGAGTAAATCTCCACAGCTGTCACCTTCTGGTCACAGTGATCGTGATGATTTTCTTATGATGCCTAGTATATTTTTTAACTGTTTTTCTTTCTTTTTTTTTTCTTTCTTCTTCTTATTGTTGTTTCAAGTGGCATCCTAAATATTCCCAAGTATTTATTGAAAAGAGCAGCATTTCAGGTGAAAGTGTATATTTTTAAGTATTTCAAATTCTTATATATAATGTTTGGGGATTAAAGTAAGATTGAGATACAAATGTTTCTCTTTGGTTTAGCATCCTAGTTATATTTATCTGTATTGCTGCAGTGTGGTGCTAGGCACTGTGCAGACCCAGTGAACCTGCACGTGCTGCAGAATGCTGACAGTGAACTGGTGCTGAACATGAGGCATGGAGGAGGCTGTATCCAGCCTGTCACCTTTGACAGGTTGCCATTGAGGGAGGTCCCCAGTGACCACAAAATGTTATACCCATCTTCAATAAAGTCAACAAGGAGGATCCAAGGATCTAGGCCTATGAAGACAAATAGTTTGGGACTAGCTGACATAGGTTTACCAAAGGCAAAATCATGCCAGGGCAGTCTGATGTTGTCCGTGATGAGATGACCGTTGAGGGGAGAGCTGGGGATGCCACTACTTTGCCTTCAGGAAGGCACAACATGCTCATCAGCGACCTGTGCAATGGGATGGAGACCACCCTCAACAAATGTGTGGGTCATACCGTACAGGGGAGCCTGCTCTCCCAGGCAGAGGGCTGGGAGGGAAGACTGCCGTCCAGAGGGATCTGTGCAAGCTGTAGGAACAGTTGGACAAAAGCCAGGTCCTACATCAGAGAAAGCTTCACCCCTGCAATACAGCAGCCCAGGGACCCCTCACCACAGCAGCTTTGCAGGACAGGGCCGGGGGTGGGGGTACACCCAAATTTTATGGTGGACAACTTGAACACAAGTCTGCACTGCACCCTTGTGGCAGTAGGGCTTAACTGAAAACTGTGCTGCGTTAGCAAAACCATGGCCGGCTGGTTAAGGGACATGGTAACTCTCGTGTTGGTTACTTTTGAAGCTGCGCCTGGTTTCATTGTCCAGTTTGGGGCCCCTGACACAAGAGAGATGTTGCCAAATAGGAGCAAGTATAAGAGGTTAGGACAATGGTTAGGATATGCACGCGTGGCTTACAAGAGAGTGAGGTGAGATGGGTTTGCTGGGGATGGCAGTTCTCACTGCTGTCCCCAGGTGTCCAGTTGGTGGTTGTAGAGAAGAGAGACAGATTTCTCAGAGCAGCCCATAAAGGGTGAGAGGTGATGGTCACAAGCAGCAGGAAGGGATGTTCTGGCTGTACAGAGGTAACAAGTTTTCACAGTAGAAGTGGAGCATGATGTCCAGGCAGGTTATTGCCGTGTCCAACCCTGGGGAAGCTCAGAGTGCAGCAGGTCACAAACCCTTGTACTTTGTGGTGCTGAATATACTGAGCATTCACAGCACAGTGGGACTGGCTATGAAACGTTGACAAAATTAAGACAAGCATCTTATCTCTAATGGGATGAAAAAGGGGAGATGAAAAGCGGGTGCATATGGAAAGGTAAGAGTGAAAGTTACAGGGTTGGGAAATTATTTTTACTACAGGTTTGTGGCTACGTTCTGGAGGTTCTGAGGTTGTATTTTTCAATCTAGAAGAAGGGATATTGCAGTAATTGCAGTGTGGTGTTTTTTGGGGCCTGGTGAGTTTTGCTAAAACAAATATGTTTTCACAGAGCTTAATTTGTTTAGGTGATATGAAACACTTTAACCTGAAATATTTTTTGCTGAAAAATTTCTTGCCAGTCTTGGCCACTTCATGTGTTTGCAGCCAAGCGACTTCCATTATTGCATCAAGTACCAGGACTAACACTGGTTCTGTGTTTATTTCTCAGTAAGTGTGTTCTGGAGCAATTGTCTGTTTTGTTTTTGAATTGTGTATTTATTTCTCGTTCTATCAGACCTAATAATAAAAGATTTATATAAAAATTAGTCACTTTTCTTTTAGGCATGGTCTATTAAAGGATGTGTTGGCAATGTAGCCAAGTAGAAGCAAGAGGATGGATTATAATAGGACACTGCAACAGGCAGTAAGGCCACAGCTAGCTGAACCTGATGAATATGCACTGGTTTATGCAGGTAATATTTTGAATTATGCAGATAAGATTCTGAATTGCAACAGAAGGGCTACAGAAGCTAGAGACAGCTTTCTGTGTCTGGAGTTTCTGGTCAGCAATATCTGCAGGACATAGATGTTCTTTTTAATGTAAATGTACTTCTCAGAAATGTTCTCTCTGAAAACAAATCCAGAGCTGTATAACCATATAAACAGAAATGATTCTTTTCTTCCCCCTGAAATAAATGTAGGCATATATTGTGATTTTATTGTGCAAAACAGATGAAAATGGAACAAAAATGGAAGTTGGCGTTCACACCTTAGCCACCTAGTTATACTTGTCTAAGTTACATGCAATGTAATGGCAAAGGTGATGTGTTAACATCGCAGCTTAGGTTGGAGGTACAGCGATTCCTATGAAATTGAAATAAACAGTAGTAAAAGAAATCCCATCAACCAAATCATATGTTGTTTGAAGAGGCAGAATCAGTCTATCCCCTTTACTTGAGGCTGGGTATGTGCAGGGCTCTGCTGTGTCTTTGTTAAATGAGAAAGCAGTGAGAAACCAGATACCACTTCCACTTGCACAGAAGCCCTTCTCCACCAGCTGTACTGAGGAGAGGAACAGGCATAGACAGGCTTGCAGCTGCACAACACGGGCAGCACAAGCGGCAGGATGGCCACGTCTAGCTTGATGAAGTCTCTTGCAACAGGAAGGGTGCTGCCAAGTTTAGATCAGTCTTACATAAAATTGTTTGTCTGCAGTGGTGTTGGAAGATGCATTGGTAAGGAGGTGTTAACTGCTGTTATCTCCTTCCCTGGGCTAGGTGCAGCCAGTGTTACCAGGGCACACAGACTTCTTCAGAGACTGCAGTTTATACTTTAGCTATACAATGTAATTTTGGCAGATTTAAATGCTCAACAGGGACATCAGCCTGTTGGTACTGTCAGACCACTAAATCTGATCCTTGTTTTTCAGGATATTTCTGGCAATGAGCCCCCCTCCTGTGTTGCAGACCCCAAAATAGTTCTTCTTAAGCAAGAAATATTTACATTTCTTTTCCTTGGGATTTTGTGTTTCCTTCAGTAACTCTCATGCTCATAAGAAGATGCCATTTTTGGTTAAGCTTTCTCCACTGAGCAATCCATCCAAGTTATTTTTCTGTTCAGACACTTCCTCCACTCCAGCTGTAAAAGGGAGGTTTTTCCCACTGTTCAAGGACCGGTTTCTGCTAGCCAAGATCTCACCATCTTACGTCACAAGCTATTGCAGCAGCATCCTGCTTAGCCTTCTGATTGCATCAGATGACTCTGATCCTCTCTCCAGCTCCTTTCTTGACCACATCAAACCGCGTCACTTGTTTCTCCTGAGTATCAGCTCTCTTGTCTCCCAACAAAGCTCCATCCTCCATTTTGTGACTGAAACCCATCTTCATTTTCTAGCAAGTTGTGAGGTTTTGTTCCATTCTGCATTTGAACTTGAAAGTCGGTCCCTAAATAACAAAGTAACCAAAGAGTCAATCTTCAAAATCCTCCCTACAGCCCACTTACAGAAGCAAAAACCCACCTCCCATCTCTCCCTTAGCTCCCTGTATGCACACACACACACACACACACACACACACACACCAATAATAAATAAAGAACCACCACAACTTTAGGGAGATTTTGTGATGTCAATTTTAGTACATAAGAACACCTAAGAATAGGGGACAATACAGCCATGACCCTTCTCTTTTCATCTAAGCTCTGTCAGCCTTGACTGCATTAAGCACATTTTCTGCCAGATCTGATGCTTGCTTTAGAGGTCCAGTGATGCCTGCAAACCCTTCCTTTTTGGGATATATTATCTCCTCAGGAAGGCAGGTGGCAGCTTCATTCAAAGTTAATTCTTGGTTTCAACTGTGCCAGATCAGGTTTTCACAAGCAATTCAAATTTTAAAATCTTCTCTAACATCTTCTGCAGAGGCTGAGTGAAAAATGGGTCTTCACTGCCTGACTTCACGGGAGCTGCTTAGAGGGCTGACATGATTGAACAGCATGAGCCTACCTCTTGCCAAACAGGGCAAAGAAAATGGTAGGGGTTTGGATGATGTAAGAGGGACAAGAGGTCTGTCTCCTCTTGCCTGTCTGCCACCAAGACAAGACTACAGCAATCCCCTTTCGTATCTTGAAAAGTTGATTCTTTGGAGCACCTGAGTCTAGGCCTTGCTTCTTCCCTAGGGCAGAAGTGCCCTTCTTGTGTCTGGGCTTCCTGCCTCCTTCCCCAAGCAAAGAGGCAACCAGAGTTCCTTGTAAAAATGAGAGTGGGCAGGGTGGGCCACAAAAGGAAAGGGAGCTCTCATAACACTGGTGTGGTTTGTGAGCTGCTAGGAGGTACAACGCGCTCACATAGTTAAGGAGGAAAATGTGCTTGTGAAGGTGTGTTTTCACATTGCTAATATTTGTTTTACATTCTGAGTAATCAAGATTTCAGCTGTGATTTGCAGTGCACTTCTGTGTTGTGACTTAAAGAATATCTAAAGAAATAAAACAAAAAGTTGTTTGATAGATCTTATTAAGTGGGCCATCAAGGAGAGGACTTTACTCAGCTCTAGCCTACCTGTCTGTAGGCTTCCAACAAGCAATTCTTACAACAATGCATTTCAACAGATGACCCACTTTCTTTCTAATTTCATTTAAAATAAAAAAAAAAAAATCAGCTCTGTGAGCATCTCATTTGTATATAATTGTGATACAGGGAGTTTTTATTATTGTCTGCTGATTAAAAGAAAGACCACAGCCTTAAAAACAGCTGATGATTCTTTGCAAAGGGGAAACCATGGGCATTTCTACTAGGACTGAATCAAAACAGCCTGTGAAACCAGTTGCCAAGCCACTCTGCTGATGGGAAATTAGCCTCACCCACTGTTTGTTATTAAATGGAAGAGCTAGAAGAGCAAAATGGTGATCACATCACTTTTTAAAATTATGATGATGTTTGGAGGTGGCTTTACAATGACAATAAGGAAAGGGTGAAACCTCTAACCAGCTGAGTCATGATTCCTAGAAACCTCGAATGTTTGTTGTTTTTTTTTTGAGCTTTGGAAATGATCCCAAAATTTGTGACTCTTCAGCTGGCCTGCATGGGGCTGTTTCCTTCTGGTGAAGAACCTGGAGCCATGCAGAAGCTGATCTCTGGGAAGTATGTGCAGGTATTGTAAAGAGAAAAATCCACTTTTCAAAGTTATTTGTATCTCGACAAAACAGAAGACCAGAGTGATTCATGTGCTTGTTTCTGTATACTGTTAAGAAGGCATGATACTTGGCTTGTATACGTTACTGATGGTGATATTATCTATTTATTAATTCTGAATTAATAAGAAGAATCTTCTTCTTTCTAGCAGCATTAAAACAATAAGTAACCAAAACACTTTTTTTACTTTGTTTTACTGTTGCAAGTCAATAGAATTGTTTGCCACAGAACTTAACAAGACACTTCGAAAATACAGTATAGAGTAAAAAGTTGCATCTTGTAACAGCATCTTGTAAAGACCTTAAAAACTGCTATACTTTATTAGTCATAGACTGGAAACTTAAAAAAAAGAATCCTAAAATCCTTAACTTTTTAATTATATATCTTAATCTGGATCCAAACTACACTGGGATAAAGTCTCTGAACAATGGAGATACATATATATATAATGATGAAAATAGGAAATATTTATACTTCACAATACTAAGAATTTCTGTTGAAAATGTTCTGAGCTGAATGTAATCACTGTAATTTGGAAAAAAAAAAAAGGGGGGGGAGGTGCAAACCTAGAGAACCTCTAACTGGAGAATTAGTTAGATGTAAGATTAAAACCTATAATAATCTAATTAGGGATGCTATTTCAACATGAATTCAAAACATAACTCATAGAGTTGATGACTAAAGGGGAATAAAATTTGAAGCAGCCTGTACAATGTTTGTTACATCCCAGTTGTTTGTTTGTTTGTTTGTTTGTTTTTCTTGAAGAAAGCACCCTAGAGAGATGCAACACAGCAGAAATGGAACCGCTGCGATTGCAAAAGTTGATCACCCATTGCAGAGCACATCTAACATAGCAGCAAACATATCTTTTGGAAACAGCCCAATGATCCCTCTGCCAAATCCAGGCTTTGAGTGTTTGCCCAAGTAAGAAAGAAGCAGGTATGTGTCCACTGAGCCGCAATCTTTTGAGCTATCCATAACATCTGGTAGTACTTCCTGCCCATTGTGTTCTTGAGCCTCAAAGAGGATGTAAATGTGTTCATCTCTCTCAATATGTTTGCTATATGCCAATTTAGACTCATCAGCCAGTACCCAATTATGCCTAATTTCACAACACTTCTGAACTTGGTCCATTAAGAAAACTTAAAGTAGTATAACTCATGTTCTCTAAGGCAGCAAGAATCTGACTTTAAATGAACTGAATAGGAAATTGCCTGGTGACTTATTCTTCAATTTAATTATTTTTTACTTTAGAAGTTAAATGTAGCACTTTGCAGGCTACTGAATCTAGGTCAAATATATGTGATGTTAATAATAACCAGTTCTGTGTGAAATCTATGGGTTATATTTAACAGAAAGTTCATTCTGTAGAATCCTGCAATGCCTGATTTTTTTTATTTTATTTTTTTGTAAGTCTGGCATAGGTCAAAGCCAGAATTGCCTGGAATTCTGTAGATTTTGGAAACTTCCCCCAAATCATCCTTCTCTGGTGTGCTTGCCTCCTCTATGAGCAATTCTGGGCATCACAGGCACAGAAAGGAGAGGGTCTCTAGGTTGCAATTTTCCTTATCCTTTTGTAATTTATTTTCTTTCTACCTATTATTTAATAAGTGAAATTACCTATTATTTAATAAGTTAAAAAGACCCTGCAAACTGCCTCACAGAAAAATAACCACAAGTGAAGACATGAGTGCTTCCCTCAGATCCAGGAAGAAAACAGAATCTTTGCTGACCTGGGCAGGAGGCAGCTGAGCTGAACGGCACTGGGTAACATCCAGTCCAGCCTAGCTCCCTCAAAAGGTATGGAGAAAAAAAAAAAAGGCCTTTCCAGAAAGGCAGATCAATGAAAAGGTTTTGTCTTGTGTGAGCTGAAACAAAGTAACAGACTGGGAAATACATAACTTATTTACTTACTGGATCTGATTTGCTTTTTGGAAAGATACTGGAAGCTTTGGTGGCACAATTTTTTGTTGCAATGTGTAATTTGCTGTATTTGCTGATAAATGATGTGCACACTTTGGGCTGGGTTTGTTCTCCCCCAAGTACACAGCAAGTACTACCATCCCTGTGGGATTTCAGGGTACGTTTATTTCTACATTTGACAGGTAATGATTTTGTACCAGGGATCTGATTAACAGCCCTGGTGACTGCCTGTAATTTATTCAAGCTTCTGGTCCAGATGGCTTAAAAAATAAAATAAAATCGCCTGCATCTCAAATGAGTATAGAAATGAAGAACTGGACAAATGACAGAAAGGGACGTTTAGACTGTGACTCGTAGAAACAGCACTTAAAATTTTTGTTGAAAATGCAAAGATTTGGGGAGGTAGAGGTGGAGGACATAAACAAAGAGTTGTGGGGTTTTAATTTTTGTTTGTTTTGTTTTCTTTTTAAGTGAAACCTGAATAAATATGTTCCTTCTGGTGCCTCTTCAATTCACACCTTTTTCCACCCCGTAGATGCAGTGTAATTGGGAACTCTGACACCTTGTTGAAACGTGAGGACAGCTGGACACAAAGAAAACTTTTTCTAGGCTTGATGGTGAGCACTGTGTGTCCAGACAGGCTTTGGAGAAAATCGTAACAAATGCCAGGTGAGCTGATGCTAACTACTCAAGGGTGCATGTTTGGAGGGTGCTGTTTGCATCTTGTTGCTCTGATACAAACATTAGCAAAACAGAGAACGGTGTGGGGAAATCTGAAAAATGGCCCTCTTACTGTTGTGTGAATTTGTTGGCAGCTAACGAGGATTTCACTTCCCCACCCCCCCCCAAAAAAAAAAATGGGGGGGGGGGGGGAATCCCAAATCCTGCAGTAAGCAGAGCCACGTTGCTGGTGGGAGGTTTGATGACACCTGGTGGCAAACGGGGATAATGCGGCAGGGAGGACACATGGGTGACATGGGGGTCACTGACACTAAAGGAAAACGAGGTCCAGGGGGAGTATAATATGAGCTGGAGCCTGACAGCAAGAAGTAGAAAATAATATGTTGTGAATGGGGTAGAGAAGCTTAACGACATTATTTTTAGTAGCAAAACCAGTTCTAATAAATGTGTTGCGTATCTTTATAAAATATTCTGTATAAAGAAACTGTAATGGGCTCTCTGGGATCAGTTACTGTCGATTTAGAAGCAAGTGCAGATAGCAATAAGATATGACCAATTAGCTTAGCTGTGTAAAGTTGCATCCTTGGATACCATTCAAGTGACTTCAAGCATTGCTCATGCAATATAACCGGGAATATGAGCTTCAGGGTAATAAATAGGGTGTTCTAGATAATGCTTCATGAAGTGAATCTGGCGAGGAAAAAACCCTGTTCAGAGCAGAAGTTGCAAGGCTTACCAGTGCTGGTGCATGCCTTGCAGAAGGGGAGGGAGCCAGCCCCAAACCTGCAGTGCAGCGCTGGGGAGGAGACCACAGCCTCCGCGGGCAGCCCTAGTGAGCTGGGGGAGGCTCTTGGAGGATGCTCCCCTTCGCTTCTTGTATTGCCAGGCTGCATCTGTCAGGCTGCTAGGGCAGTATGTCAGCAGTTCCGTTCTCAGGCATGATCCCCAAGAAAGTCCTTTTACTGAAGACATGTGTTAATGGTTTTTTTAGTTTCTTTATTCTTCAAAAATAATTGTTGTGTTTTGTGAATGAATTCTGTAGAGAAGTCTGCCACCATTGTTACACACCTGCCAAACACTCTAGTTTTCTATCCTACCTCACAAAGAACAATTTCTTTCACTATAAAGGGTTTTGGCACCTTTCAGTAGCTTGTCTGTTTTGCACACTGCATTTGTATGCTATTTTCTGTTGGCTTGATAGAAACAGCCCTGAAATCACCTCAGAAGTTTCACTTCAGCTCCTAGTTCCCATGTGATGTCTGCTAATAGATTGTATAAATAGGGAGATGTTTACACAGAAATGGAGGCTGTTGTAACCCTGCCATGAGTATCATCCTCTCCATCTCTTGTCATGTATCTTGTAATGGAAACACTGGGGTTGCATTCAGCCTGCTATCCTTAGGGCTAAGGGCACAACTGAGCTATCAGTTTGAGATTCCTCAGTTGATTGAACATTCATTTAAAAAATGTAATGGCTTATACTTCATGGAGAGGTGAAATTTAAGTTGTTTTTCTCTTTTATATCTCTGAAATTTTCATCTTTCCCCATTCCATACTTTCTATTACCTTAAATTGTGTGATAGTGTTGTTTTTTTTTTTTGTCTATTTGTTCTTGTTCAACTTGTTTGTTTTAAGAAGTTAGACTCTTCATCTAAATTATGGGTCTCTAAATTTAAATATCTAGTAATTTGAGGGCACTGGTAATAATACAACTTGCACACAGTGGCACACACAGCTCCATTTTTCTGTCAGAATGTCCTCATTTTCACTTTGCAGTATCACAGTTAGAGGTCAGCATTTGCTCCACTTTCAGGACTCGCTAGAAAAGAAAGCAAGCAGAAAACTTTCACTTTCTGCCCCCAGCAACTTCTCAGTATTTTTTCTCCTGTTAGAGCAATAATCCCAATCTTTAAAAGCCAGATATGAGATGTTCTTTTGTGTTATTTAAAATTTGTCTTGATAATGTTTGTGGGTTTGTTTTTCCAAATTGTGTAATTTAAATAGGTCAAACAAATTTGTGAAGAAGAAATAAAATATCAATATACTCACAATATGCAAGTGAAGACTGTACACAAAAGTGGCCAAGCTCTAGCTTAGGCAGGTTGGACAAGCTCTAGCCAAAGCAAGAGTTATTTTTGCTTACAAGGAGAGAATTAAGCATGTATTTCCAACTTAGAGTCATATTTAAGCCCAATACATTATCAAGCCTCAACAACAGCAATTCTGGTTTCCAGTGCTCTCATCTATGGAAATAAACAAGAGTCCCTGCGGAGGCTTGGGTAGCAGGGATGGGATTTACAATGATTTGTGGCTCCAGGGCTGATTTAGCTCTTTACATCACTGGACGTGGTACGGATCCCACACAGACCTGCTGACACTTGCAGTGGGAGCTGTGTGCACCACACAGGAAGGGGGTCCCTTCACTCCAGCCCCTGCACACTCTGCGCTTACAGGTAGAGTCTGTAGCAGGCTGCAACAGAAAGGGAGGGAAGAAAGTGCTCTTCATATTGACTGAGGCTAGCAGGACAGGTAACAAGCTTAAATTTGAGGAAGGAAGATTTAAATTAGACATTAGGGGAAAAAAATCTCATAGTTCAGGTGAATAAGCATTGGCATTGATTGCTTAGGCTTTGTTCTGAAAACCTACATCAGAGATTTCATAACCTCTCAGCAAACTTTTGCCAAAAATGACTCACTGAAGAGTAATGTGTTGACTGGTACTTTAAGATCCCTTGCCACCACAGATTTTAAGTCTGTATATGCACAGTTCATTGATTTGCTGGTTTGTTCAATCATTTGACATCTTAGGCCCAGTAATTAAATCAAAAGTCCCATATCAGCCACTAGTACGGTTGTATTACAGAGAGCTTTGATGCACTTTTACTAATTGGCTGCTTCTATATTATTATTTAGTGTGGGTTAACTTGTAGCCTGACTCATAGAGAACACTTCAAGTGCAAACAATAATTAATGCTGTTAAAAATACTCTGCAGCAAAAAGCAGAAACTGAGAGCACTGAGTCAAATATCTGTTCCCTTTTCCCCTCAAAGGCTCTAGAATTAAAGATTTTCCAATGTCAACTGCTTGCATAATGACAAGGGCTTGTGGCCTTCCTAGTAGATGGATACACTTTTTCTTGGAAAATCTTAGTTATTCAAGATTTCAGAGAACTAAACTTAACATTACCTCTTGAAGTCTTTCTGTTGCTTTTCTTGCCACATACCCGGCAGTGCAGAATGGATGTGGGCTTGTGGGCAGCAACTGCTGAGAGCGGCTCTTCACTTGTGGGGGTGGCTCTCTGACAGAGACAGAAGTCACACTGATATCAAAAGCTATGTTCATTTTGTCTCCAGAGGCAATTTGAACATCTGGCTAGCTCGTGTTGTGCAATGTGTCAGGAAAGCCACTGGGACACAGTTTTAAGAAACTTGGTCCCACTTTCCCACTACCTCTAAATTAATAAAGACCATGAGATGTCCCCACTGCTCGTTTTGCAGCTGCTACAAGTGTTAATCACAAATACATTTTCAGCCTCAGCCACAGGTCTGTCTGATGGATAGGGAAACATAAACTGGGAAATAAATATTTATGATGTATAGTCTCCCACATTCCTTTATTTATAGATTGTTCAGTGCAGATGCCTATCACAACAGTAAAACTAAAGCTGAGCTAGATTTCAGCATTTATGATTCATTTGCCATGGAAGGCTTAAATCACCAGTCTACTAAATGGAATGGCTCTGAACTAAATTGTGAAGTCTTTATAAATGTCAGCTTTGGAAAGAAAATAAATTTGTTACATAGTTTTTTGCACTGACTGAAAAGGCTATCTGGAATGCAGGGAACTTAACTATCCCTTGAATGCTAACAGCAAAACTGAGAACAACACTAGAAGAGTAGCTGCTGAAGCTGATGTTTTTCCAAGAAGACCATAGGGTTCATCAGCAATCCCATCTGGCTGTATACCAAAGAGTTTCCAAAAGTCACTTTTGCTTTGAGAAATGCAGTATCTGTTCCAGATACAGTGAAATGTTGTTATGCTAAGTAAGAGGAATGGACAGTCAATTAAAAGCATACTCCTCCAGACATTTTACTTCTTTGAAACCCTAGGTATGTATTTTTCATGCAGTTTAACATTGCTGAGAGAAACGTTCATGTCTGGAGCTCAGAACTTCCTTATGAGTCCACAGTTCTCACCTTTACAGGCACTGATGGCAGCTAAAACACCATCAAGGAGATGTTTCTCTGTGCCTGTGAAAAAGCATCTGAGCCTAGCAGGGACAAGGGCCTTCATCAGCCTCTCAAGTGAAAGGGTGAATGCTTTGGATCTAGCCAATCTTAAACAGATAAGAAATGTGGTTTAAGTTAAGCAAAACATATAAAATGGTTGAAAATAGGTTCAGTGTTAACTTAGTCTTGTTTTTATTGTATAACACTGGGTAAGCAGAACTTCCGTGCAAGACTCAAGCACCCATTGTCATCTTTTATGTGCTGATAGGTAACCCTTCATCTACCCCAGCATTTCTTGTTGGGTATTTATATTGTAAGTCACATTAGCCAGCAATCAGGCATCCACTGTGCTTGTTACTGCTCATGCATATCAGAAATGATGATCTTGCTCCAGAAAACCTACAGCTTAGGTATATAGCAAGACAAAAAGAAAAAAAAAAGGGAGGGGGAATAGGACAAACAGAGAATAATAGTAATAGAAGTGGCATTCTCGTTCCATTCTGTTGTTAGCATGTAGCTATTATGCTATGACTGCATCTCTCTTCCAGAGAAAGATCAGTCTGCTTTTGCCCATCCAGCTTTTGGGGATAAGTGTTCTTTTTGTGGCTTCTATAGTGATCAGATCTTGTCATCTTTACCCCTTAGTTCATATTGGTGCCACTTGCTTTTAGGTGTCATTCACTCTAGGACTTTTTCTGCTCAGGTTACTTTAAGAGATGCTGGTCCTTAGCCTGGGTAGGTGTTTTCTCTGACTCAGCACCTTGCTCTCACTTGTTTAGAAAGCCCACTAAGCCCACTCACTAAGCTTTCCAGCACTGTGCTTTTAAAGAAAAAAAAAAAAAGGCAAAGGATTGTATTTCCCACATGATGCCTTCCTTTGAACCCTCACTCACTTGTCTCAAGATGTATCTTCCTCACTGAAACTGTGAACCATTTTTTAGCATTTACCTTTTTTTTTTTTTTTTTTCTTTCAGTTCTAAAGAGGATCTCTTACCTTTCAAGGCTGGTGTTAGGTTTCAAAATCAGATTTATTTCAATACTTGATTTTTTGAAGAACAGATCCTCTGTTGCTCCCTTGCTACCTTTCCAAACAGGACTTCATTTGCAGGTATGGACTGTCACTTACAGGTAACAGGAACAATCTTCTATCAAGAGCTTTATTACCTCTAAAGATGGATATTTACTAAGCAAGGTAGAGCTTCTGCATTTTTGTAACGCATATTTAAAGAGTAGTTAAGCAAGTCATGTTTCTTTGAGTTGAACTGACATGAGATCTCTAACACTTCACCCAGGCACAGTGCCTATTGCAGAAAGCAGTTTGATCAGTACAATGTCTTTCATAGATAGCATTCTATGTTGTCAGTACTGATTCTACTGTTTTGGTGCCTAGTCAATCTAAAGAGTGATTCTTGTTCTAAAGACTTTGAAAACTAAAACTTAAGATAGCCAGTCCTGTGGATAGACCTCTGCCTGAACACCTGCAAGCCTTTGTGCTATACAAAAAGTTGGTTCTTGAAGCCTGTTCTGGTTTGAAGTGCAGTCAGTGCTGGTTAAAAATTAAACAGCACATCTGATAACAAAGCTCAAGAGTTGTCCTTCTGCTGATTCTTTGGTAAATAGTCTACTTTGTTACTTGTTTGGGTTTTGGTCCAAATCAATCTGTTTGGACACATCTCTCACTGTGATAATTCACATGTGATTTCAGGTTTCTTGACTTAATGAAGCTGAAATCGCATCATTTGTCTTTGAATGTACATGTATATACTTCTTGGGTAGCAAAGCTCTACCAAATTTTTATACATTTAGTTGGTAACTTACACTAACAGGCTGCAATATCATGCTTATCTTGTGTGTTTCTTTGTTTTGATTTTTTTTTTTTTTTTTTTTTTTTTTTTTTTATTCAGAAGCAAATAGCACAGAAATAGATTGGCTTGACTGAAGGAGACAAGCCTGTTCTGGTGCCTAGAAACTAGCTTTGGCTGCTGCTTGAATACAGATATTTGTCTAGGTGATAGGCTTAAAGTTCTGTGTCTTCCTACTTAAGGCCTCACAGAGAATTTTTTTTTTTCCCTAAGGAGACAAAGTAAGCCTGTCTTGGTCTGTTTTCTTGCCATCTTTCTGTTTTGAACACTTAGTGGGGTTTAGAAGCAATAAGCTTCCCAAAAAGCAGGAGTTAATACGGACAGTCCCTCCACCCACACAGTTCAAAGAGGAGCCGTGTTTTGTCCTGCATTCCCTGCAGCATGGTGCAGCCACCTCAGTATGGCCACAGGTAACTATGAACCTGGTCCCATGCTTCAAAAGGTCACTTTAATCCATTCCTGATGACAGACGCCAGCCTGTTTAGCTAATTTAGCTGTTCTCAGAGTTACTTCCTCTATAAGCAAGTCTCCCTAATGTGGTGAATCACTGAAAGTGAAGAAGCAAGTCTAAAATAGGGGAGTTTAAAAAACTATTGTATCCTTCTCTTAATTAAAGGTTTGGAGTGAGGCATGTAGATGGAAAGAAGAGATAATGAACTTCTCATTTTAAAGGGGGAAGGAAAATCAGCTACATGTAATCTTGGGTTTAAACATGTCTGGCAGAATCCCAGCCTGGAACTGCAAGCCTCCTGTGTGCTCCATGAGCCCAGGGAGGGCACCTGGTCCACACCAGGATGCTGATATTCATTTATCTGTTTACATGGATGTCTATTTCTATTTTCTTTTGAATTGCATACAGTTGAATTTCAGGCTTTCCAGGATTCATATAGAAAACTTAATTTAGCTGCAAGTAACAAAACAAGAAACTAGAAATTCTTCAAAATAGTCCTGTGACTATCCTACTGGAAGGACATTGAAGGTGTAATATGAATAAAGAAACAATCATAAGAAAGATCTCTCTCTCAAGTGTCAAGAGGTCTATAGGACTACGATCACCACGGAAATTCAATCTGCCTGCTGCTGCTTCTGCAGTGGAGGAGTCGAGCTGTCTCGTTCAGGCTGGTAGCAACAATATCACATTTGCCATGGCCATAGAGAATGTGCAGTAGCTTTTCAGATCTATGCTAACAGAGTGGCAATTCTTGCAGTGTTTGAAAGGCTGAAAAAAAGAGAAGGCTATGCATTGATACCCATTTGAGCCTCTTAAAATTCTTGTGTCTTCAGTTAAGCTTTCGCAGCCCTGTTTGACTCTGCTGTAAGTCAGAACTTCCCACTTCACCACAGGTTTTTATGGCTTACCTTGCCTTCTTGGACAAGCTGCAGAGAAATCTGTGACTTATCACATTGAGAAGCAAGGAGAGCCTCTTTTGGCAGTGACAGACTAGGCTAAAAGCAGCAAGAAGACACTGATACTGGTACTTCCTTGTTGAGAAGATCCTTCTACCAAGCACGGGTGAAAATGAAAATGTACATCAGGCTGGTTGCACAGAGCCAAAACGAAGCCAGCTCTTATACTGCTCATCATTAAACAATAAAATACGTCCTTGCTTGGGAATGTTTGGAAACAGCAAGAGGGGAATCTTACCCTGCAGAAACTGGAGATGTGGTGTGTCATGGGTGTTCTGCACTGAGATCCCAAAAACCCCATTGATGAATTTGTTGTTCAGGAAGAAGCTCATAGGCAAGGTGAGGTAGCATCCTGCAAGTGCACAAAATGCTTGAATTGCAGAAATTGCCCAGCATGCTGAAAGCTGAGTTACTGTAGGGTAGGTTTCCTTTGGATCAGTTGTCTCACTTAGTGCTCAGAGCAAAGAAGCTCCGGTGTCTTATCTGCTCCTCATGGCACCTTCATGCCCTTCACAAAGCCTACAGTCATCTCAGGTCTGCTGAAACTGGTGTACCTACCTCTGACAGCCACAACTCCACTTGTGCTGTAAAAGAAAGTGGCCTGCATAAGAAAGGTCAAACACTGTGCAAAACAAACAAAATAAAATATTTGTTGTACAAGGAAGGGATACCAAATACAAGAAATCAGTGAGAAACAGGCTTCAGTAAAGAGATGCTGCAATTGTGGTCCTGGTGGCCACCACTCACCATAGCCTTTCCCTTAGGCCTTTTACAAAAGTGGATACTTAACTGAAAATTCAGATTAACAAGGCCCAAGTGCACAACCCCTTCTCTTTCTTTGATGCTTTGCAAAAAATTCTTTAATTTCTCCTGAGTTTGACTTGTTTTATAGAAATATAAAATATTATGGTGGCAGACCTGTGCCACCTCTAACGCTGTGGAAGAACAGGTTGGATTTTTTTTCTAGTGTTTTCAGTGGGGAAAAAAAAATAATATATATATATATATATGTATACACACACACATATTAACAGAGTTTGGAGGGATTTCATCCTGAAATGATTTTACCTGCAAGTAAATAAGAAAACAAAAGCCCACTGAGTTTTTAGTTTTTATTGGCAAAAAGTATTTCAGTGGGAAACACCAGGTAAAATACTATTGTATTTTGATCAACACTTTCCATAGAAAATGTTCAATAAATGCTAACTGCTAATATCTTTGCTCAAATGTACCATAAAAAAACAATGTAATAATTAAGTACTGAATGGAATGTTGGTCTCTGGTATTTTATACTTAAGACTCTTATTGCCTTGGAAGGTAATATATATATATATATAATAGCATCCTGATGAAACCCTGCTGTGTTATAGAGAAAGCTGCAGTGTTAAATTTTCAAAACTATCATAAATGTAATTACCTCCTGCTGAGAATCTAAATGCTTATTCATAGCACCATTACTTTCAGTAATTAAGTCTGTAATTTCCTTCAGACTATGATTCGTTCCTTCCTAAATCATAAAAGCCAGGCAAAAAAAAAAAATTATATTTGATCAGTTAATGTATAGAAATTTCATTAAGTTTGCTCCATGCCAGAATGTACATTAAATCTTCACTGTTTGAAGTGAATCAAAGCAACTTTTAAATTCTGCCTGAGGTGGTAGGGAGCAGTGAGGAAGGAGGATGACCCACTCAAGGGAGGGGTGTGTGTGTGTATTTCTGTCTGTCTATCTGTCCCAGTGGTTTTTAACACCTGCTAGCCAGCTAGGGCAGGGTGCACAGACATGCTTTTCCTCTTCCTTATGCAACAGCCAGTTTCCAGCTCAGCAAAAGGCACAGGCAGGTTCCTGGTGGTTCTTGCTGCCCGCAGAACTCTGCTCCAGGTGAGGCTGCCTTCCCTGGGCAGTGCAAGGAACCGTGCTTGCCGATGGAAATTTCAGTCATCATGACACTTGTCTTTTTTCTGCCTCTTTCGGCGTGTAATATGATACAGGTAAAAGAATGTAGTCAGAAGATGGTAGATAATGCTTCTTAATGATAGAAAAACATAAACTAGATTGGACCTTGATTTTAAACGTGTAGGTTGAGTTAATGCTGTGCAGCAATTGCTGGTTCAAACAGCAGAAACATACCCAGATCATTATGCCTGCTGAATGTTAATACAGTATTTCCTTTTTTTTTTTTTTTTTATTCAACTCAATTTGTTTCCAATTTTTCTCTTCCTTTACATGATATCATTTTTTTTTCCCTGTCCTGTCAGGAAAGAAAAATCTTACTGGTTGCTAAGTAACTGTTGCAGTATTGCTGCAGATGTGCAGTAGGCATATCTGTTACTACAACGCTGTTTAGTTTTTGAGTAAAAAATATTTTTCAATAACATCAATGTAATTTTGAAAATAATGATGGCCTGATAAAAGAGGATGCTTCTTATCCCAGATGTTTCCAGCCACATATTTATTATATCAGCTGACTGTAGAAAAAGGCTTTTGGAGGGAACTGGATTAGCCTACAGTGTTATTCTCCGAAGTTTTATGGGAATGCAGTGTAGGTGGCTAACATGGCAAAATGAACTCCCACCAACTCATTTGCACAGCTCCTTGTAGGAAGCCCATCTGCTATTTGAGTAAATCATTTCTCTGAGCACTGCAGTCCTGTTTGAGCTCCAGGAGGCCCCACACTAAGCAAAATTCCCCCATTCACCACCAGCACTTCAATCTGTGGCCCATGGGATGGAAAGGGTTTGTTTCCCAACTGGTCCATGTGGAGGACAGCAACCACCTCTGCCATCTTTTGCTCCTCTGCATCAGAGCACTGTGCTGATGCACACAAAGAATAAAAGCTAAAATCACATTGATCATTTATTTGGGAGGAAAATACCAGAATGCATGCATAATAGAGAATGATTGCACTACTGATAGATTTCATTTTAGCATTTACTAATTCTGGCATGTTTGACTTTGTACCTACAGCAAGCATTCAGTGTAGATTCTTTTTAGCAGTAATTATGTATATATAGACTCTCCTCTTAGTGTGGGAGGAACAAAATAGTTGTAATAGCTGACATTATTCAACATTAATGCATGGTATTTTAAAGACGTGTGTATTGTGTTAATATTTCATTTATTGTAGCTGGGTTAGGAGGTTTCCATGTATGTATGTATTTATTTATTGTATTCATTTTAATCAGATATGTCCATTAAATGTAGGATGTGGCATTTGGATTTTTTTAGCGTACGCTTTCAGGAGATTGATTTTTGCCTGTGTTTGCAGAGAGTGAAGGAGTTTGCCCATGTAATCTCCAAAAAGGTCAAATCTTGACTTAATAAATGTATGATTCAGGAACATAATGCTTGTTCTTTAGGACATCACATTAATATTTATTGGGGTCTGGATTCTACAAAGACCTGCTAATTAGTTACAGAGTCTTTTGTGTATTGGTTAAACTGGCTTAAATCCAGTTTTGCTCAAGAGGGATTAAAATTGCTCCTGTTATGATAACTCTGCTAAGCAGAGGACTCATTCCCATTAATTCCTATGGCTCAGATTAGTGTATTGGTACATCTTTCTGCCCCAATTAATAGCTAGTGGTAGCCAACATTTTTAATAAACTCAGTGAAGAATATTTCCAAGGAAAAGTACCCCATAATGCTGATCTTGGAGTGAGAACCAGGTGGCCTTCCAGATATATTAGTTCAAATGTTAATAGAATAATAAATAAATAAATGAAGATGGTTACCCTATTGAGACAACTACAGAAAAGCAGAGACCAGGGTCTGCTGTCCAAGTAAAGGACTTCAAGGCACAGCTATCATTGCAGTATTGCATGGGCAAGGGAGGACTTACCTATATATCATGCAAGATGGTGTGGCACAAACTTCAGCAGGCTGAACTGAGCCTGTAAATCCCCCAGACTTGCTCTGGATGAGTCAGCTATATCTGCATAGCACTAACTAATCAAATATACCCTGCTTCTGGAGTCAGATAGTTGTTTCTCAGACACCTTTGATTATAGAGCTGAGTGAGTAGGAAAAGGTAAGATTAGACAAAGCAACTAGTAATCTCAGTGTGTTTGTGGAGAAGGAAAGAGAACGTACATAATGTAACATCTGAAAAAGTGTGTGCCCTGGTAGAAAAATCCCTACAATTACTGAATTTAAGACAGGCTTACAACATAAAACTTATGCCTTATGTTGAGGGAAGAAGCTACAGAGTCAAAATTGGTTTGAAAAAATAAGAGTGGAAAAGATCTAAAAAAGAATCGTGTGGCACAGGACACTAAATAGAATCCCTAGAATCATCTAGGTGTTTTTTGTTTACTTGTGTTTTGTTTTCGTTTAAAAACAAAACAAAGAACTGTCCACAGTTACACCTCTAAAAGGAGCAAAGCAATGGGGGAATAAGAGTATCTTTCGTCAGCCCAGGATGCCCCAGGTGATTCTGCTTCTTGACACTGAAAGCTGGTGATATGGACCTATGTGGGGTGAATTTTGAGGAGCAGGTTCATGTCTCTTGGAGATGCTGAAGCAGGGGAAGGAAATTAGGTACATATTCCAGAGGAAATTAGGTACATATTCCAAGAGGAAACTGAAGAAAGTGTGCTCAGTCATAAGTAACTTCAGTAGACCAGTGCAAATCTTAAAGGCACTTTCTGGACCAAAGGTAGGTACAGTGGGACTTGCCTGACCTTGAATCAACAGAAACTTCTTTGTTTTCATAGTGAGCATAACATCTGATAACAGTGACTCAGCTGAAGAACTTTGCACCTCTGTGAAGTATCACCAACACTGTGGTAAGTCTGGAATGATAATGAGATAAAAAAAAAAAAAAAAAAAAAAAAACCACCACTGGGATATGCCTGTGGTAATCTTAACTCCTGTAATTGTTTTGGTTTTTGTTTTTTTTCTCCTTATGACAGGTATTATTCTAGAATAGAAAAATATTATTTCATAAAACCTCATTTAAGCCCCACGGCCTGAATCTTTAGGAATTTCATCTCTAGGTGAATGGGAAAATAATGGGCAGGGAGCTAACCCATCTGCATAAACTATTTACCCAAGCTCCTAATGGGGTAAAACCACAGAAAATATTGGCACACAGGGAAAAGTCAGCCATCAGAAAGCTTCATTTGCATCAGCTTTGAGATCAGCACTCCCCCACTGATGATTTTGAGCCAACGTAAGAGGAAGCAAATTAAAACTTAGTCTGGATAGTTAAGCTGAACTTAAATGTAGGGTTCAGTTCAGAGTCCTCCCTCTTTGTGAGCCCTTGTGGAGTGTCCCACACTAAGAGCACCTCACCTCTGCTCCAAAGTGGTGGCTGGCTGCTTGTATTCCTGCTGTAAGAGAGGTATCAAAATAATGACCTACCTCTAATACTAGCTTAAGGGAATATATTATGTATCATCTGAAACACATTGCCAACGACAGTGTTCACGCTGAAGCTGTGTTTCTCTAATAATAATCTCTCTCTTGCTCATCCTCCCCACTGTTCAAGAATCCAGTGCTTGGAAGAGGGGAATAATTTTTAAGGGCTCTCAGAGAATATATAAGTGGTTCCAGAAATTCTGGCTGAGAGCTTAAAGATACATGCTAAAGACGCTGAAATGCGCTGAACTGGTCTTTTTCTGGTTATTTCAATCAGCTAAGAGAGGGCTTATATACTGTGAAGCTTCTGGTCTTTGCTAACACATGCTCACACACACAATGGCATTCTGTTGAATTGTATCCAGAAAGTTAATTATTCTTCAGAAGGATTTTGGCTTTCTCTGAGGACAATCTGCATCCACTCCCCGCCTCTTTTTTTTTTTTTTTTTTTTTTTTTTTTCATTGGAGTAATCTTTTGCCTTTGTTAAACAAATAGATGCAGTGGGGAAATACTTGCCTGGGAAATTTCTGCAGGGAATGAGACGCACAAAGATTTTGATGCTGCAGTCCAAGATAAATAAGACATTTTAATACTCTTAGCAAATGAAAATGCAAATCACAGAAAAGTAGAGGCAAAAATGTATTCCCTGGCCTGAATGTTCAGAGAAAGGGAGCAGGACTGGGAGGTGTCTGACAAGCACATTATTTGCAGTCTCCTACTAATTGAGTGTTATCTGCATTGCTTGCAGCTGTCATTCCATGACCAAATGTATTTGTAAAAATGCCAGTAGATTCAGAGAGATGATGCATTTACCAGAGAAAATTCTGAGCACTGTAAGGAGACTGCAAGCCAATTGATGGATTGAAGGGATGTCCAGAAGGATTCTTTGCACTGTTCAGGAACCAGTCCTTAAAACCTAATTAGTGTGGTGTTAAATTATCTGTTACAACCAAAGACTGTAATTGTAGTTTTCTTTGTTTGTATACATGAGTTCAACTTACCAGCATGCAGTACCTCTCTACCACCTAAGAAAGAACTGCTGCCTAAGCAGTGAGATTTAGGTGAGGCCCAAAGGTAGCTAGCAAAGAAGGAAATATTGTTAAAGGGATTTGAGAAAGAGGTGACAACTCTGAGGTTTGGGAAGCAGAGAAATAAAGGAGAAAAAAATGTAGTGTCAGGGAAGAATAGATGTGATAATGATGACAGCAGATACTTGAGAAAAGATGTGAAAAAAAAAAAAAGAGGAATAGGAGTGAAAGAAGGAAGAATTGTGCAACAGTGGGAAAGACTGGATCGTAGAGGAATAGAAATTAGGCAGAGGAGAAAGAGAGAGTATCTTGATTTAACAGATATAACAAGTATAATT